GTTTGCTGATTTCTTTTTTTGTTGTCTCCTTGACATTTCTTCCTGGTCTGTGGTTTACAATTGATTTCCCATTCCTCCTATTTTGGATCAGCCTATAGGTTTGGCTTGCCAAGACCCATTACCTGAGCTATTTCTATGTTATCTGGAGTCTGGAGTACTACCCTTTTTATGCTGAGGCATCCATTCTGCAAGTAACAATTGGGTATGGGGAGATGCCAAACATCATCAAGGCAGACTGTTCAGTGGTGCCATGTGTTTAATGGGGGATCAGATTAATTGCATGAGTGCATCTGAGCTCAACTCCTCCAGTTAGTCCTTGCAAAGATATTCTACATCTGTGCGTTGGAGAGAAGCCTACATTTTCTAGCTTTATAAAAAGTTTAAACAGAAAATAAATTTTAAAAGGATTAGAAAAAAAGCAAAGGCTTATCAAAAGAGTCAGTGAATAATTTACCGGCCATGAGCTTTTGAGGTCCATCAGGTTGACACAAATAATGCATTATGAAAAAGAAATTTCAGTTTTCTCTACATCTGTCTTTTGCAGCACCTTAAAATGAAACAGTTTTACCCACTCAAGACAACATCAATTTGTTAGCCCCTGCTTCATGTATGAAATAGCATTCTGTGAAAATATCAATATCATTGGTTAATATAAATGAAATTAATTTTTAAAGCTGGGCTAAAGGTTGACATATGAAAAATTGCATTACTTTGCAGAAGAGAAATTTCTGTCTTCTAGTGAAATTTCAGGTCAGGAGGGCAAGTAATTTTCACAATCTTCAATGGGAACCAATGAAATATGAACTTCATTGTCACCTAGCCCCAAAGCGATAAGATAAAATGAGCTGATACATCATTTGCTGTGGTTTTATCATCTCCTGCAGTAATTGGAAGAGAAAACATAAGAGCTTTTCTCCCAAATCACTTTGCCTCCTTATTCAGATCTAAACCATTTTAGTCTGATCGATGCAAAGGTCACATAGCTTTTTATTTATTTACTTATTTTGTAAATTCTCTGTGCTTTACCAAAATGTCTAAGGAAACATTAAAATAATGAATATGTTTAATTGAGTTTTTCACCCATGAAAGAAAGGAATGAGATTGTATATCAATCTACTGGGGCGATAAGGAGGAGGAAGAATGTTGAGGATGCGGGATTCAATAGCTACATGAATCAGCATTTGACAATTAAACATTACTTGAAATGCAGCTGATTTTTGAGATAGGCTTTTTCTTTTTTGTTAATCCATTATGGTGTTCTGTATATATCTGAAATGTTTGAATGGACGAAACACACAATGTGTTTTCCTTATGTATAGAATATTAATAGGGAATTCATAGACTTTGTGAGTAAGTGTAAATTAGTAGACTAGAAAGTGACATTTCTTTACATGTGCCTGGAAGTAATGGTTTGGTGGTGGTTTCAATAGAGTTTAGAGAAACTTCTATATTAGCTTATTTACTTTCTTCTTCAAAACTGACATAAAATTGGGATGGAAAAAAACATACTATTGTGATCTTCCTGAGATGTATAATATATTGTGTATTGAGCATTTTTATTCTCTAAAGCAGCAAAATTTGGCTTTGGAATTTAATTTAAGATATTATATTACCCCAGTTTATGGCTCACAAGTCCAGTGACAGGTATTGCATGATCTGAAAAAAAATGATGTAATTATTCAATTACTGTTTAGCTCAGTAAAGTACTTGGAGATTTAATTATGTCTAGACTACACACATGGCCACAATCACCAATATGTTGGTTGATTGGTGTGCTTAAGCTAAACAGGAAAAAAATACTTTGTGTGTGTGTGTGTGTGTATGTATGTGTGTATTGTAGTACTCTTTTGTCTTAATTTATTTATATCAGTCTTTCCCCCTTGAACTGGGACTCAGGATGGGCCCAAACAAAGGATTTGGCTTGTGATCCTAAACAAATGATGTGGAAATGCCACTGTGTTCATAACCATTACTAGAACGTTGAAGGTGTACTTTCTGTGAGGTTCTGTGGGAAGTTCATATGAAATTCAGGCTAATTATACATATACCAGCATAAACATCATTAGTGTGGTGTTGTGTTGAAGTATAGAGTTCATGAATCCCCTTTAAATGCCCTGAAATTGCATAGTATGACCCAGCCTGGTACCACCTCTTGTCAAACTGGTGCTTGGAGGTGAATTTCCACTATTTGAAGACATAAAGTTAGTTATTTACTCACATAGCCCTTCAACAGCCATAAAAATATTTTCACTGAGTTGAATGATGTTAGGAAACAAAGAGAAACTATACATCTACACACCACATCTAAATGTTGGAATGGGACACTGAGAGACAAGGATTTCATAGAAATCCACTTGGGCTAGTCACATACTCTCTGCTTCAGAGGAAGGCAAAGCGACCTCCCTCATTACAAATCTTATCTCCATTATAGTTTTGCATTAGGGTTGCTATAGGTTGGGAACAACTTTAAGGTGCACAACAGTAGCATACATCTTCCATTCAGGATGTTATAAGAGTAGGTTTGGGGTGCTAATTGTAACCCGCAGTTGTGATCTTATACGAATTTACCAAGTAATAAGTTATTGTGTTGATATGTATAGAATTCTACTGTAAACCTGTAGGTAAACATCTCAGATTTTAAAAAAAATAATCAATACCAGAACTGATTTCATCTTGAATCCTTTAAGTTAAGTGGTAAACTGAAAATGTATAACTTTGATTACGTAAAGGAGTGAACGAAGGCACAGGCGTCTCACGGTATACCTTACGTAGTATATACTGGAGGGAGGATATGAGTGTGTTCTGTATCGCTACAGCTAATATGACTGGTGTGATAACGGTGGAGCAGTGGTAATGATGCAGTTTCCATAGCAACTGGTTCATTGGAGGGCTAGACCTCTGTCTAGGGTGCTGTCAGTATGTGTGGAGTTTCCAAGAACAGAAAGTCCCACAGAAGGTCTGCTTTCACCTAATCCAGTTTTAATTGAACTCCAGAGACTTTGAAGTGAATCTATAGACCAGGCAGATACTATTCCAACGAGAAATGAAGGCCTGTTTTAGTCAGACCTCAGCTGCTCTTGAGCTGGTTACTTCTTATAGTTAATGCATCATAAATTGCTCAACAATGCTTGTTAGAATTTCAGTGGCTGTATTTGAGGTTCTAGTAGAAGTCCAGTTCCCTATACTGTTATAGCCCAGATTTAACCAGGTAAATTTACCCTCTGTTTGATACTCTTGGAAAAATTGATGATAAGATTTTCAAGGATATAAATATCTAGGCTATTCAAATAATTCAATTTTTTTCTGCCAGAAATTATACTGGATACAGAATCTAACATTCTAGGTTATATATCCACTTCTGAAACTAGTTCCATTTATTTTCTTTTTCCTCCTCCTTTGTAGTATTTAATGTACTTATGATGTGACCTCATAAGTTTCTCTACTCCAGCACATTTAATTGCCTTTTGTTTGCAAGGGAATGTCAATTCCAAGAATGCAAGATTATGTTTTTTGTTTGACACACATGTTCTATAACTTTTCTGGTTTCCTTTATTGATTAATTCATTTTTTCATTCACTCAATCAGTTATTCATACCAACTTGTGGTGAATTCTCTGAGTCTATAGCTTGGAATGTCTATACAGATAGTCCCTGAGTTACAAACATCTGACTCAAATGTTTGTAACTCGGAAGTGAGAGAAATCTACCCCTAGGAAGGGAAGTTCACTCTTGAAAGCATTATCATGGGTGAAATGCATCTCCACTGATACCAATTTGTTTCCACAGCTAGCTATTTTTTTCAACATCCACTTATAGCAGGGACAGAAAGTGAGGTGAAATCTTCTGAACAGGGGCACAGAAAGCAAAACAAACTACCACAGGAGTGTTAAAGCTCTCCTGTGCTATAAAATGCATGTGTGCACACACACACACATGAATGAGAGAGGGAATGACTGGAGTTACACTTTAAAATGTACCTGTTCTGACTTATATACAAATTAAACTTAAGAACAAACCTACAGCATGTATCTTGTTCATAACTTGGGAACTGCCTGTATTTTGTTTCCTCCATTTTTTCCATTTTGTGCATGGATTTCCACTTTTAAGATCAAATGTCTCTTAAATACGTTATTTGAGTAAGTCGTCAGAATAACCAAGAATGTTTCAAGACCATATGCTTACCTGAAATCAGACTCCAGAAATAGGTCCATATAATTTGTTTCCACCAAGGATATTTGACTTAGTTACCAGTCACTACACTCATAAGCATCTGGGCCCATAATTGAAAGGGTAGTAGTTCCTCCATATTTCTGATCCCATTGAGGTCCTCTTCAGTAGACGGGGCACTACAACCTCCCTCATGGAAGAAGCACCACTTGTACTGAGTGAAACATTTACCACTCCCATAATAATTCACCTTCACTTGATCTTATCAGCCAAGATGGGCAAGGCTCGATTTTACATGAGATTAGAAATACTGATTTGGAAATAAGCATTGGTGCTCCGGAAGTTGTTGCTCTATTGGCTGTAGCAGATCAGAAGCACCTAAAAGGCCACAGGTTTCCTAACCAAATCTATAATGCAATCATTATACTACGTATGACATTTTGTGTGAGATATATTGATGCGTAATTTTGGGAGAAGGAATTAAGCCATCTTGTGATACTGTCCAGAAACAATTGCAACAATATACTGACTTTAATTGGTTCTGCAGTTGGGTACCTCCACTATGTTGTACAAATACAATCCTATTCCTGCTTAGCTCCTTACCATATGTTTTTTTAAATGTGCACATTTGTTTCTTTCTTGTCATTAATATATTGTTAAGTTATTTTCAAAGATCATGGTGATGAACTGAAAATTCTGATAGCTGCAGAGAGACCAAAAAGAAAAAGACGGTGCTATGTTGTGAATTCACAATAGATCTTTGGGTCCACAATGGCAGAGCAATTGCTTAAATTTGTTTCCAATGCATCTCTTCTGTTTTTGCTTTTTTATTAGATACTTGCTTATACAGAAGGACTCCATGGGAAATGGCTGTTTTCGGATATTCGATCAATCTTTTCTCGACGATACCTCTTGCAAAACACAGCTCTGGAAATCTTTATGGCAAACAGAGGTAAACTTATTCTGGAAATGGGTTCTGAGAACTTGAAATATATTGTGTTAGATTATATTTTCCTGTTTCTTTACTTTTTATTGGAGAGTGTTTATATTATAAAACATTATTCTCCCTCCCTGCATCTGAATAGCCCTTATTTGCCCTGGCAGGAGATGGGTTGGGACAGGAGCAGATACTGTGGGTGGAAGCATTTTGTATTTTTTGCTTCCTTATCCATTGAAAAACCACCAACAAGTTAATTATATTCATATCAAGCTGCAAAAACGTTTCTAGCAGTCTTTCATGAATACTAGTTAAAAGGAAGGTGGTGAACAGAAGTTGTATGGTAATTAAATAATTGACCCTCACTCTGGAATATTTTAGATCTGAAAAAAAATTCCATGTATATACTTGGGGAGCTAGGGTGGAGTTTGGAAGATATGCTTTCTGGCTTCCCATTGAGCCATGAAACTCACTGAGTGGCCCTGGACATGCCATTTTCTCTTAGTTTGAGCTTTATCATAGAATGTTGTGAGGGTAAAATTTGGAGGAGGAGAGCCATGTGTGCTGCCTTGATCTCACAGAAGGCAGGCAATACATGTAGCACAAACATTCTGCCATCTTAGTCCCATGCTGGCAGAAAGTCAACATATAAACAAACAAATTGGCATTAATGTACCAATTAGCCCAGCCTTCTCCAATGTGAATGCACTTCAGTTGTGTTGAACATTATTGTCAATGCAGGAAACATATTCACAGGTAGCTGTGTAGCAAAATAAAAACCCAGAATACAGTGATATCTTTATTGGGAAAACAAAATTAACAAAATATATCATGCAGGTTTTTGAAACATTGCTGTGTTCTTCATCAGGCAAAGATATTACAAATAATACAGAAGAAAAGAGTGATGATGTTAGTCACAAACCTACATTTTGTCTCAGATTTTACTTTGGTTATTGGTTCAAGTAGTAGTAGTAGTAGTAGTAATGATAATGATAATAATAATGGCCTAGAAGGTTATTGAAGAGGCAGAGGCCTCTCCCTTAGTAGGTCAGGTGGGGATTAGGGACAGAAGGCACTAAAATACATGTAGCAAAATTTAATTCTATTAACAAGAGAAAATAACTTGTGCTGAGATGTAGGCTGCCCCTTTGGCAATTGGGCCCCTTCTACAATGCCCTATATCCCAGGATTATCTTCTTATCCCAGATTATCTGGCAGTGTGGACTCACATAATCCAGTTCAAATTAAATAACCTGGGATCAGATCCTGGGATATAGGGCTGTGTCAGGGGCCTTGATTGAGGAAGTCTATATTAGCTTGACACGAGATGTGTTAGTTATTTCTCCCATCCCTCTTCAAGGCAGTTATTAAGATGGGGATGGCAGTGAGAAGGACCATTTTCATTTCTTCTTTTGCTTCTTCATTCATTATGAATACATTTGCATTTGCTTGCTTAGACAGTCGGTACGATTGAACACAACAGTTTCCTGCCTCAGTATCACATTTGAATGTTCAAAACAAATGAAAGAAAGGGGCAATAAATGGGCCACAGATATTGCAAATCTTTGCGACATGGTCTGTCTTACTTTTGTGACCTTTTTAGCTTTCTTTGAGTTCTTGCTCATTATTTCTTAATTACAAAATACTTTTCATCCTCTTCTCACTGCATAATCCCCATATAAGCCGCCTGATGGAGCCGAGGAACAAAAATAAAGTAGTAGTAGTAGTAGTTGTTGTTGTTACCACCACAGCAGTTTGATAGCATGGTTCCCTCTGGAATTTGTAGTTTGCTGAGTCAGAGAATTTGGAATACTTTATGAAACTAGAAATCCCTGGATTCTATATGATTCTATATGGAACTAGGTCAGTTGAAGCAGTTCAAATGCTAGAAGTGTGTAATGTGAAGTCAGTCCAGGTAAAAGTCTGCATTAGATTAGTGAAGAGAGAAATTTCTGCAAACCAATACGCACTAATTCCATGGTTATCAGCTGTCCTGGTAACAGTAATTGGAGTGAAACCTTCTTTAAGGTGTCTATCTTGAATTCCTAGAATTTGGCCTTGTTTATTTTAACACTAGAAAACCATGTCTTCATCTTTTTGATCTTTTTTCTCCACAGTTTCTGTCATGTTCAACTTCCCAGATCCTGCAACCGTTAAAAAAGTGGTTAATTGTCTACCTCGTGTTGGAATAGGAACTAGTTTTGGACTGCCCCAAACCAGGTATTATAAGTGCACAGGCTCTTGGGAAACAACCTTATTTATATTCTTGCAAAAAACAGCAAAAGCACATAACCAGAAAGATAAAAAGTGTGTTATATTTTTTCAACTTTTATTATGTTTTAAAATTATTTTATACCTTAAAACTTTTAATGTGGTGATTATTTAATTGTTTTTTTATTATTAGGTTTTTATCTATGATCCCTCTATGATCTACCTCAGAGGCTAAGATCATCAGGGGAGGCCCTGCTCTTGGTGCCACCCCCTTTGCAAGCATCACTGGTGGGGACGAGAGACAGGGCCTTCCCAGTGATAGCACCTTGTCTATGGAACTCCCTCCACAGTGAAATTAGATTGAACCCCTCCCTCTCGACCTTCAGAAAAAAACCTAAAAACTTAGCTGTGGGATCAGGCTTTTGGTCAAGAGAATGTAAATTGATTTTAATGACAACCCAGACTGGCCTTGGAATATGACATGGACCATGTGATTTTTTTGTTTTTTTAATGTTACATTTTAATTGGATGGTTTTAATGTTTTGTTTATGTATGTGTACATGCACCATTGAATCGTTGCCTTTGAAAGGCTAATGTAAATACACAAATGTCCTGTTGCTATAAAAGGCTTTGAAAGGCTGCCTTGAGTCTCCTTTGGGGTTGAGAAAAGTGGGATACAAGTATGATAAATATTATTTATTTATCGTGTCTTCAGCAACCAGACATTTGTATGATAAATAAATATGGTAAATAACATCTAATCCTGTTTTTAGCCTTTGTAAGCTATCTTGGATCCCATGCTAAGAGAAAAGTGTCATTTAAGTTAATTAAACAAGAAACAAATAAATAGAAGCAAGAAAAAGTGTGCTTTCTACTATATCATTTAAAAACACTGCCATTTTATTTGCTGTCTTCAGATAGCCTAATGCAGACATGATTGCCTTCTGTCTTACACTTGTAGTTCATTAAGAGAAATATTTACATCTAATGTTTTAATATGCAAGTTAGGATTATGGATAAACTATCATATTTATGAAAACAGACTTGTGAACATAAAGCAGCTAGAAGCTATTTTTTAAAATCACAATGGCTTAAAGAAGCTCCACAATAGTCATGAAAATGGCTGCTAGGCCTGGGTGGATTTATTCATGAAATCCATTTCTGTTTTCCATTGTGGTTTCTCTGCCTGATTCTGTGCATGGAAAGGAGTACCGTAGAGAATATCTTCATCCAGGCTGCATTTGTGAATTAAGTCTCTTTGTTCACCAGTGTCAATCACAATCTAGTTCTAGAAAACTATATCCTGCAAGCTTTCCTTTAGCACAGTCAAATTTTAGTCTTGATTTCAATTATTAGAATTTTCTTTTAGTTTGCCACCACAATTATTTGTAAATGTAAGTATTTGTAAATAAGTTTTCCATATGCCCCTATAATAGGGCAGGGGTGCCATGATATGAATATTGTATATGCCAGAGTTTCAGAATTACAGTTCCTTGAGTAAAAAAGAAATTGCTGCTAAAATAGTACAGTACTGAAATAAATTTGTAAGTAGATTTCATGATATTATAATACCTTATGCTCTTTCTTTATTTTTTTCCCTTTCAGGCGCATTTCTATGGCCACTCCACGTCAGATCTTTAAAGCATCAAATATGACGCAGCGATGGCAGCACCGAGAAATTTCTAACTTTGAATATCTCATATTTCTTAATACAATAGCAGGTAATAATTATCCTCCCTAGTAGTTGTAGCAAATGGCTCATTTTTCAAATAATGCATCACACTGTTGACTCTTTCTTAACCTGTGGTCTACTAAACCTGTAGTACGCTATACAAATTGTGACTTGTGTAACCTGTCTTTCTTAGTTTCTATTCAGGTTCTCAGGGAAACACTAAGGCCCCTTCTACTGCCATATAATCCAGTTCAAACAGATAATCTGAATTTTATATGGCAGTGTAGAAGGGGTCCTGCACTGCCATATAATCCAGACTATCAAAACAGAAAATCCAGATAATCTGCATTGAACTGGTTTATCTGGCAGTGTTGACTCATATAATCCAGTTCAAAGCAGATAATGTGGTTTATCTACTTTGAATATCTGGATTATATGGCAGTGTAGAAGTGGCCTAGAAGGGGCCAAAGTGACTATCAAATTATTATTATTATTATTATTATTATTATTATTATTATTATTATTATTACCCTGCTTTATCTCCCCAAAGGGGACTCAAAGTGGCTTAACATAAAAGCATTAGTATACATTTTAAAATATACAAATATACAAAAATTAAAACAGAATTAAACACAAATAGAACTAAAAAAATTCACAGTTCAAATCCATCAAAACATATTCAAAGTTAGAAGTTAGAAGGCTGTGAAAAAATGAGGAAGCTGTGATTATAAAACGTTATTATAATGGATCATTTTTCAAAGAATACCATTTATAAATTGAAAACCTGGATTTTGTTTTTCTCTGTTGCCTATAAGAATTTTTTTTTAACATTTTGCTATCCAGGGCGTACTTACAATGATTTGAACCAGTATCCAGTATTTCCTTGGGTAATCACAAACTATGAATCGGAAGAGTTGGACCTCACGCTTCCAAGTAACTTCAGAGATTTATCAAAGGTATTATTTTTCACAAGATGTTTATATTGATCATGTATCAAATATATGCTGAGTACAGTATGATAACTCTCATTGTTTTGTATTTGTTTATAAGTTATAAAGTGTGGAATGGGCTATTTGTAGAAGTGCTAATAGAAATATTTCTAGGCAGGAAAATTCCTTGCTCCAGTTATGTTGACTTGGATTAAAATCTATACACAACTGCAGAAAATTCAGTTTTAAAATTTTCAGTCATATAGTAATTAATTATAACAGATTTCTTTCACTCTTGAAGAATACTCTCACCTCATTTTTTTGAGGAAAAAAAAACAGCAGTTGTATTCTGTTATACAAAATCATAGGATAACCATGGGCAGGTGGAGTGTGAGTGGCGGTTTGCCTGTACTGCCATCTATTTCATGTCTAGCAAAACAGAGATGCGCATGACTTTTAGTGTCTACTTTCCATATTGGACTAGATTTTGAAGTCTATTGTAAGCTGCTAGTGGCTGAAGTTGAGTAATTAATATGGAAAAAATATTTTGCTTTGCTACATTCCTGATGCTGTCAAATATACTTAATGACATTGCAGTCATATCACTAGAAGGAGCAAATTCGTTCTAGCATACCTTTTCTTTATTATAATTCACTAGCAATTATATCATTTTAACATGTTTTGTTTTCAAGTTGAAAGGTAAATTGTTCAAGACTATAGTAAATCCTTTTAGATCAAGGTTGCAAAGCACTTTGTGTATTAAAAATGACAATGATCTTGCATCTAAGATAGTTCTCCTTTGATAGCTCAAAAATGAAAATCTTAAGGTTCTACTGGGCCACAGAGCTTACAGTGTATGCTATATGCAAGCATTTAGCTTTTAACAAATCCAGAAGAATGGCCCTTGTATTTATTTTAGCTGTACTGCAATATCTGCTCATCTGTTGATTTATCACTGCTCCTGTTCGCTTAGGGCGCTTCCAGACAGGGTTTAAACCCATGACAAAGCGGCTTGTCCCCATTCCAGCACAGTAACTGCCCCAACCTCTCCCCAAAAGCCTTAAAAGAAAATACAAACTTACCACACCTCCACTAAGCGTTTGGAGGCCTCCTTGCGCATACCAATAATGCACCAGGAGGCGGGGTGTGTGCATGGCAGGAGCGATTTGGCCTCATCTTGCCTCCTGACACATCGTTGGTATGCCCCAGGAGGCCTCCAGAGAGGTCAAATGGTGGCATGGTAAGCATTTATTTTCTTTTAAGGCTTTTAGGGGGAGTTGGAGGGCTGCCATCCTTGATTCTCCAGGCTTTTGGAAGCCCAAATAACTAAAGTGGGCTATGGGGACTGACCCCAGGACTGCGGAAGCTGTCCCGTAGGTCAGTCCCCACTGGCTCTATACTCCATTAGACCTGGGCCTTTTAGAAAGACCTGGGTCTAATGTAATTTTGGACAAAGCAGCATTTACCTGCTTTATCTTGAACTACTTCGCCTCTTGGATGCTTCAGGTATATTCAATTATTCACTAAAAATACTTAGATAAATATTTCAGCCGCCAATTAGATTTTTGTGTTGACTGCAAAGTAGATTAGTATGTACATATTTCAAATAAAGCATAAGCTTCATGTTTTAAAAAAGATTTAGTACTTAATCATTCAATCCAAAGTTAAGCTGAAAATCTATGAAAATCTATGTGAAAGTAAACTCATTCAACACACTTTTGGTAAACACACATAGGTTTGTGTGGTAGACCAGTGTTTCTGAAACTGTGCTCCTCCAGGTGTTTTGGACTTCCCAGCCAATTTACCAGCTGTTAGCAATTGTGGGAGCTGAAGTCCAAAACATCTGGAGGAGCACAGTTTTAGAAACTCCGTGGTAGACAATCAGGCATTATAAAAGATAGTCTAAGGCCTAATTAATGCATGAAACTAGGTCTCAACCATGGGTCCACAATGTGCATCACATTTTATGAATTGATCTGGTGTATTGCTTTAGTTTTGAGAATCTGATTAAGTGCAATCATATACTATATGTGATGGTCAGTTTTGCCATCCTTGTTTGGTGAAATGCCATTCTGATTTTTGAAGTATCTAGCATTTAACTCCAAAGTAATTCATGAAGAACAAGGTGGCTTTGCTGTCATGAAATGGAATCTTGCTTTATTTTCTTGGCCATCTTTGTTCAGAGTGGGATTTTCATTTCCTTCCTCAAAGATTGGGTGGCTGATTGCCCTAGGTCACTCAGTGAGTTCCCATGGTTAAGTGGGGATTTCACCTTCGTCTCCAGAGTCCAACTCCAACATCCAAACCATATACCATGTTGCTGGTGCAAAAAGGATCCTCTGTACCCATTGCTAGTAACCCAATTGACATTGACAAATCATCATGTATTCATTATTATGACATTGACAAATCATCGTGTAATCATCAAACTGTGCTAGATATGATGGTCAATTAACTAGCCAGTAGTTACATCTGGCATTGCCTTGATTTCTTCCCAGTATCTTTCACTTCTGCTCATGTAATATAGAGTATACTAGGAGTTGCCCCTCCAATTGGAAGATAAGAGGGGTTTTATAAGCCTGTATGGTGGTATAGGGAGGCAGTGGTGGTGGTACAGATTCCTGGATGATCTGTGCTATTTCCAGTTGGCCAAGTAGGTTGTTAGCTATCAATAATTTTGTGACTAATACATATAACATTCCCAAGCAGCTTAGCCATGGAATATATGCAGAATATGGCTGGACAGTAATACCAAGCTATCTGCTCTGCTTCATAACATGTCTATTTGTTGAATTTAAAAAGAACATTTTTGTTTCAATGTGTTTGTGGATTTCTTGGTTGAAAAATCACAAAAGTCCCTGTTGTTATAATGAATTCTTGCAAAAATGTTGGTTGCCTAGTTTAGATGCTGTTTATTTGGCTGCCGTATGCTTAAGAATCTCTTCAAAGGAGTCTACCTAAATAAATTGCCTTAAAAACACAGTTATAAACCTGTATGGCTTGGATATATTTCTAAGCTATTAAATCAAATCAGGAGTGCAAAGTGATAACAGTAATAGCATTTTCACCATCTCTTCAATGTACACAACAAAATACCCATGGGTTTGATAAAAATGCTTATCACAGTCCATTGCTTATACTTGTCAGTTAGATAAAGCAGCAGCTGCAAAATAGTTGCCTGAGCCATGAACAGGGCATATGATCCTTAAATGATCCAAACGAAGGCTATTTGTCTGTATTTCTTTGCCAAAGTAATTTCTTTTCAGAAAAAAATGCTGTAAAATCTCTGTATTGTTAAATTGATACAACGATGCTCTGTAGGAGTGATTGGTTTTATCTTTTAGTTTATACAGACATAAAATCATCGAATCATTATCCAAAAGATGTTATTTTGTGGCACTTAACAATATTAATACTTATTGTACAGGCGTAATACACAAAGAGGATTTAAGCAGCTGATAAATGAAATATTATATAGAAATAGTTATATTTGTTCAGTTTCCTTAACTAATTCCAAATATATTTTTAACAGAAGGGAATCCTTGGTTCTGTTAGGCATCCATGTAGTTGAACTGCCCACTGTAAATTGCATTTATTTGCTACAGTAGTACACAAGTGATTCAGTACAATTGCCACTATATCCTAGTTTTGAATATGGGAAAATAATATTTTGTGTCTTTATGCGCTCTCAAACATTTCATTACTTATGAAGGTCCCTATTTCAGCATATGGTATATCTATATGTCGTTGATATTGTGTATGTTCAAGTAGACTCTGTCATTTGGTGACTCTAGGGAGAAGATATCATGGAGGTTTCATTCAGAAGTGATTTGCTGTTTGCTTTCTGAGGCTGAGCGAGTGTGACTCACCTAATGAGTTCCCATGCATTTGAATCCTATTCTCCAGGCTCTTACTCCAGCACTCAAGCCACTAAGCCACACTGTCCCCCGCCCCCTCAGTATAGTGTTTCCTAATGTTGTTCCCTCCAGGTATATTGGTCTGGAAATCTCATTGGCCAAGCAAGTATGGCACTTATCAAGTATAAAGGTTTTGCTGACAATTGTAGGCCAAAATGCTCTGGTACTTTTAGGAACACAGTTCTGTTCAAGAGCAGCTTTCATTCTTCTCTATTTGTAGTAGATTGGGAAAGTGCTCATTGTATACAACAGCAAGACTATAATCGTTCTCCAGGATAAGTAATCATAGAGTTAAAAACTATGTAGGCAGGTGTCTGATAACAGAAAGATTTCCTCAAATTTAAACTCTTCATTAGCCACACATCTTTAACCATAGTAAAGTATTGGTTATTTTTATGCTAACCTCTATTGACTAACTACGCTCTGAAAGTTGAGTCTACTTTCAAGCAGCCACTTAATAATGAGTCCTGAGTAGTTTTCTTTTAATTTTTTTTTTTACTTAGGCCTCACTGATGTCTAAGTCTAGCAAAGAGAATTTATGCTGGAAAATGTAGGGGTTGAGAAGGATGCAAAGGAAATCGAAATGTTATGTCTTTAAGGGTCGTTGAACAATTTATCTCTTTCCTAAATGTAGTTAGAAGCAATTCTTATTTTGCTGTAAATTGAATCAGTTAGTTCTCCTTCAGTGATCCAGATCTAGAAACATTTTTTTAACATCTTTTGGAAAATTATCAAATTATTTTACTTTCTGTATTTGTTTCCCCTCTGTGTTCACAATTATGTCAGCATTTTATTTAAATGGCTTTACCCTTTTAAGTGTGACCTCCTTCTTGGATGTGTTCCTTCAAGTCATTCCCGACCTATGGAGACCCCTAAGGCAACCCTATCACATGGTTTTCTTGGCAAGATTTGTCCAGAAGGGTTTTGCCATTGCCTTCCTCTGAGCTCTATCTAAAAATTAGGTGAACAGAATACAAGACAGAACTGTGGATAAGATCTAATCAGTGCTAATTGGAACGTGACCAGTTTTCTGAGATATTATACTTCTGATATACAAGCTGAAATGGCAACTGCCTTTAAAAAAACTTCATCTCACTTTCTTGACTTCTA